TGTGCCCCTCGCCCCAGGGCTCCATCCCAGGCGGCTGGCCTGAGCCCGGCGCTGCTTCCGGCCCAGGGGGGCAGCTCCCCCACAGAGCAACAGAGATCCAAGGGCAAAGGAGGAGGGGGGAAGACGCACCGCTGGCCTGCTGCGCCAGCTGCCTGGGACCCGGCTGAAAGCCCCGCATGCACCCCGGCGCAGAGCCCACCGGGAAAGGGGCTGGAGGGGGCCAGGACATGAGCACCAGGAATGAATCAGATGCAAGAATCACTCCCGCCCGGGCAGGAGAGGGACAGAAAGCGACAAAGGCACGAGGGGTGCTCCAAGCCTGCTGCTCCTCCTGCCCTAGAGCCCCCCCCCCCCCACCCCCCCCCGGGTCCCAGGGCAGGGCCAGGCGACTTCAACTCGGGTCTCTCTGGAGCCAGGCTCCGGCTGGGTAGTTCTCAGGGAGGACCTGGAGGCCTCCCCAGACAGTCCAGTTCCAGCTGCCTTGAGGCTCCTCCCTGGCTCTTCCCTGGAGACCAAACCCCCCGGCACCTGCAGCACGACTGTGGAGGGACACACAGACACCCCGAGCCAGGCGCCGGAGCCTGCCGGGCGGAGTCCTCCCCGCTCTCTGGGACTGCTCTGTGCCAGGGAAACCCAGGCGCTGCCACGTAACTCGGCTCGGCTCTGCACAGGTAAGAACATCTGAGCGGCCAGCCTGGGTCAGACCAAAGGTCCATCCCGCCCAGGGTCCTGTCTGCCCACAGTGAAGGAATGAACAGAACAGGGAATCCTCACGTGATTCTTCCCGACACCATCCCTGCCCATCCTGGCTAATTAGTATTGATGGACCTGACCTCCATGAATGTATCTAGTTCTTTTTTGAAGCCTGTTAAAGTCCTGGCCTTCACAACATCCTCTGGCAAGGAGTTCCACAGGTTGACAGTGCGCAGCGTGAAGAAATAGGTTCTGACACCGTGCCCAGCCAGTTACTAAGCAATGGGAGCTGCTGGTGATACGCAGGAGAGTGCGTGCCCCGCATCCCAGCGCCGCGGCCCCACGCCAAGCCCCAGGCTCGCAGGAACCAGCCATTTGCCTGAGCCCTTCACTGAGGTGAGACTTGGCCCAGCTCTCATGGCAGTCGGGAGGCTACGCCGGAAGAAGGACCTGGGTACAATGGGACGTGAGTCAGGGGACAGCAGCAGTCAGCCCAGTCACGCCATTAGCTCTGCGCCAGCACCTTCCCCTTCTCTGAGCACCCAAGAGAGAGGAATCGAGCCTCAGCACCCCCTGAGGAAGCCAGGTGCCCTGCGTCCATTCCACAGATGGGGAACTGGAGGGAGGCGGCGTCTCCCACGGCCACACAGGAGCCCAAGGTCTGACCAGCCCCGGCCGGACACACACGGCCTGCTGACTCCAGTGGGATTCACTTGCCTCTTGCAGGGGGAGGACTGGTCGCTGGGCAGCCTCCTTGCCAACCCTCTTCACTAGCTTCCTGACGAGTCCCCCTGGGGCTGCAGGGGAGGCGGGTCTGCAGCCAGCAGCGAAAGCAGAGGAGCGGGCGGGGGGTTATCCCAGGGCCTTCCCACCTGCAGAGATCCCCTGGCCCCTTGCTCTTCGCCTGCAGGAGCCTTGCCCAGAGCTGGGGAAATGCAGCAAAAACGAGACACGGGGAGAGTGGCCGGGACCTCCGGACAGGGGCCTTCCTCCCCCGGCTCGGGGGCTAGGGAGGTGGGCTCAGAGACAAAGGGCCGCAGCAGGGAGGGGGCCGTGGGCCTGCAGCGCTGAGGAGGAAGAGGCTCCTGGCCCCTTGCTCTTCGCCTGCAGGAGCCTTGCCCAGAGCTGGGGAAATGCAGCAAAAACGAGACACGGGGAGAGTGGCCGGGACCTCCGGACAGGGGCCTTCCTCCCCCGGCTCGGGGGCTAGGGAGGTGGGCTCAGAGACAAAGGGCCGCAGCAGGGAGGGGGCCGTGGGCCTGCAGCGCTGAGGAGGAAGAGGCTGAGGGACAGGAGGGGGGT